AAGAAAACATTCGTGTCAATTCAATTTACTCATAGAAGTGATTATCAAATAGATGGCTTATAGGAGTTAAATTCTTCAAATTTAATTATAACTGAGGCATGGCAATCTGGAATGACGAATACCAAAATACATGCTGCTTATGAACACATGAATGAATAACAAGAACATGTGATCGCTGCTTCTCATAGACAAACAAGAGGGAAATCTTTCAAAAGATTAACAGCTGTGTTCCATTTTCCATCTTAATAATCACTTCTATGAGTAAATTGAATTGACACGAGTGTTTTCTTTTATGTTAGACATAACTGTCGATCTACGAGGTGTTCTAACATGAATTCAATAATGTTTTCTTTTTTGTTTTGAGTCTTAACAAATGCAAATAAGAAAATAATAATTTATTTATAATATTTTTTGATTAAATTCATTATCAAATCGAAAAGGTTCTTTGAGGAATATACTTTGTTGTTGAAGATGAACTTTAAAAAAAAAAAGAATCCAATTATCGGCAAAACTTTTCATATATACATAAATATATACAAAACGGAGTCTAAAAATATACAATTTTTTTAAATTTTATTACAAATGATTAAAGTATTTTTATTCAGAAAAAAAACTGAAACTAATGAATTGATAAAACATTACTCAATTGTATTGTTACATTTGTATTTGAACCTGTTGGGAGTAACAGTTGTGCAACAAGATATATCATATATCGGCATAAAAAAAGATAAATGTTAATAATCTAATGAGTACTGTTACAAAAAATGATTGAAATAGACATTCATTTTTTGATATAAATTATTAACAAAAAATTTAATTATTGAAATTATATGATTATAATAGATTAAGCATGAGCTGTGTCCAAATAATTCGGTAATATCGAATAAGCTAATTAAAATACGTCGTGTTGTTAAATATTACTTCATTTTTGTCAATAAACATGAACTCAAATAGCTAAATATTGAATTATTGTTGCCAAATAAAGACATACAAAATCGATTGAAGGACTGATTTTAAGTAAATCTAATTGAAATTTATAATAAAAAGACATAAGGATAATATCCTCCTATTCGTTGAATTGGATAGAGCGAGGTTCTCGTTTCATGGAGTTTCTTTCTTTTTGTCCTCATGACAAAAAAAAATACAGGATTCTGTTTGATGAAGTATTAACTCAAACTACTTCATAAGAACGGTCGATAATAGGAGGTTTTATACGTCCATTGTTGTTCTGACATTTTCATTAGAAATCGTTTTGTTTCTTACTTTCTTGTTGTCTTCTTTTTTGAGGTAAAATCTTTTCATATTTGCTAAAGTACAAAAGAATCTTTAGTAATTATTAGTATCCTTGAAAAACTAAATAGACGTTAGAGTCTTTGTGTTTAGATTTTCCAAGAGTAAAAGAAATGGATTTTGAATCCATATGAACTTTAATAAATTCAAATCGAACTCAATGATTTTTCATAAATTAATTATTGTATTGGTTGGAGTTCAATAAGATCCGCAATTTTATTTTCCAAGAAACAAATAAGATTTATGTAATGAATATAAAAATTTAACTGTCAAATTAATTAACGTAAACAAACATAGATAGAGAGAAATTGACATAATTGAATAAGACAACCATAAATGTCTACTCAAACTTTGAAAAACTCTTCATATTAAACGATTTGCTCCATATGACACATTCAATAGAATGAAACGACCTATAAATTTTATCGAATGAGATAAACAATTTTCTTTGAGAAGTCGACGTTATCTCATGGGACGATTTTTTTCATTCATTCTAATCTCACATTCATAGTCTCAACATCAAATTCATTATTGATACGACGAATTGACAAACCGAGAAATAATAATGCTAACATTAATAGATAATATTATAATAAAATAAAAGCCATAAATAGTTTATTAAAATGTTTTACAACTAAGATATACAATAATATTTATTAATCTATTTCAAAATAATAATTATGATAATAAATATACTGAAATAGATAGTTAATTGTTACGAAAATTGAATATACAGTGAAGAAAATATGATTATTAAATTATTTTTATAAGTGTACCGTGCAGGTTGGTTTTTTAATCGAAAGCTTTTGAGAACATAAAATATTCATCAAAATTTTTTATTCATTGCAAAGAAAAACCAAATATGTAAATAATTTATTGAATACTTGTTTTCTAGTACAATGAAATCAATCTTCTTTATTAAAATCACTAAAAACGAATTAAGACAAAAAGACAGATTTTTACAAATAAAGATTTTCTTTTTTCCTATGTAAATATTAAGGCAGAAATATAATAGATGTCCATAAAAGATTTTCATCAAAAATTAATCAATCATTGCTATCTTTTTTTTTTTCGGTGATCAACAGAGATAAAGTCGAGAAACAAATCATCATTGTTTTTCATTTCCTATAAAACGTCATCATTTGAAGCCAATGTCAACTTTTATTCACGTAGGCTAGATTTTCGATCGGATCATTGATTTCTTTCTTCTTTTTTTTCAAGTAGAACTTTATAGTACCATTAGTATTCCGTTTTTTTTTTTTCGATGTTTATCTATTTGATATGCATTCTATTTGCACAAATATTTACCACTCATATAAATAGTAAAACTAAATATTGATTGTCATATATTTTCTTGTAAATGTTTTAAGTGAAGTTGTATCAAATAGTTGTTACAAAAAATTGCTCTCAAGTTAAAGACAATGTCAAATGAAAACAGATGTTTTTTTTTGTTCTTTTATCTTCTTTCATTGAATATCTGAAAAGGAATATAATTACTATCAACAAAGAAAAGATATTGTTTTTTGTTAGACTGTCATCAAATGATTTTGTATGTGACTTTGGAATACATTTTTGTTTATTAGAATATCTGTGATCTTTCTTATATTATATTTTGAATTGAAGTATATAGTACAAAGATTTATATTATATTATTAACCATAATAAATCATCAATAGTCTGAAAAAAAAACTTTGTTTCTATATTTAGAATATTTTTACAAAATGATAAATATTTACTATCAGAATATGACACAATTATCTAAAAAAAAAAGAACCTTTTAAATACAATTCATAAATATTGTACTCGGTAATATTAATATCTTAGCTAACCTTTCTTTTTTAATTTAATAAAGTATCATATTTATTATAATTTTTTTTTCTTTGTAAAAGAAAAAAAAAATAAGAATTTAGTTTTTAATTTAAATAATATCTAATAAAGAAATATTGCTGTCTTTCGAGAGAACTAATTTGGTTATATCTATATAAATAAATATCAATATTATCTATGCACATTTTATACAGCAATTGAACACGATCTTAATATATATAGATAGAGAAAAAGAAGCCTTGGGCATGATCATGCTCTGGTAATTTAATGGCTTGTTATTGCTGGTGTTTCTCTCGTTTTTCTTATGTGATGAAAGCGGATGACGATATGCAAATAAACTACTTTATCATGAGCCATTTTTTTTGTCGTTGTCGTTCGATGTTTTCTTTTCCCTATCTGTTTCTGTTTCTTGTTGTGATTGCGTTATGCATCTTCGTTGGGTGTTAGCATATCGTACTGCATCTACGATCTTTTCTTCGCCTCGTTTCCAGATTTATTCAAGCGTATAAATTAAATTATGACATTTGTCTTATATTTTTTTTCTTTCGTTGTCTATTTTGTATTAGAAGATTTATAGACCGCATAGATGTGGTAATGAAGTGCGAACAATAATCAATAATACGTGTAAACTTCAATATATATATGACATAAAAAAAAACATAATTATTAGCTAAAGAAAAGGTAAAACAAAAGAGAATATAGTCGGTTAAATAACTACAAAAAGAAAAAAAATTCACATTTAGATAAATGTAATTAGTCTTTAAAATCAAATGTGCTCGGAAAAATCTAATTACATTTGATAAAGATAATAGCTTAGCTAGTAAGAGTGCGTGACAATATATCGTAATAAAAAAAAAAAAGGCAATAGAGACATCGATGATTAACTGAGTTGGCTCGAGTAAATTTTCTTCACAACAGATTTTATAGGTCATATATCTCTATAAATGTATGTAATATAAACGAGAGAAGATAAAAGACAAACTGTCAGCATAATAAAAAGCCTCCTCATCGAACTCTGTACTTATTTCCTCTTTTTTTTCTTCTGAGTATGGTCACCTATTCTCATTTGTTTGATAGATATACACGATTTCTTTTGGTTTTCTATTGCATATAATGAAGATGAACAAAAAAAAAACAAAAGGATGGCAACAGGAAACAGTCTTAAAAAAATAATGCTTTTTTTCTGGTATCTTTTTTTGCATGAATTGAGTAAAAAAAAGAACCGATGATGATTGCATATATCTATTTTTCTACTGACAATGTTAATAAACATAGAAAAAGAAAACAAATAATGACAATTAGAAGATCCATAGTCATAAAAAAAGAAAGAAAGGACCAGTTCTGTGAATGTAAGTAACTTTATTAATGAATCAATGATTGCTACTGTGTAGCACAAAAGAAAAACAGATAGAAATGCTTTGTATTTTCTTTTATTATTTTGATATTTAATTGTTCGTAACAATATGAATAAGCATGCTTGCAGTTCATCATTATCAAATCGAAAGTTTCAATGGAAGAAGAATTTTTCAGTCTTTTTCATCGAATATATCAAGGTCTTCTCTTTTTTTTTTCTTATCTTTGGACGAATTTGCGTGCAATGCTTTTATCCGCCGATCATTGAATTTTAGTTAAGCAGCGTTGATGTGTCAAAATCATTTGCACATCATGTTTTGCATTGTATGTCGGCTGTTGTCATTATCAAAAACGGCACTGCTCCGACCATCATCTTTCATGAAAATTGGTCCCATAGAACTAGCTAAATTCGATTAGACAAAGCATACGCGAACGAACGAACGTTAGACGAGTCAAGGGAGTGAACGAGATTAGTCTATGCTTGAGAACAAGACAAGATTTTATGAGAAGGATGGCATTTTGCTTGATCGCGCATCACTCATACACACTTTTGATAATAATATAAATGTTTTTTTTGCATCAACGATCATAAGAGCAACAATATAGGCAACTATCTTTGAATATTTGTTCGTTTTTGGGTAATAATAATTATTTGTTGTTGATTTTCTTTAGAAACATTCTTATAACCATTCAACGTGATATTAACGTCTAATAATTTAAATTTTTTCGATATATTCATTTTGAATCATTACAAATAAAAACATTCAGTAATACTTATTTTCGTCTTTTTGTTTAAACACAAAATAAATCAATTTAAGAGAATTTTCTTGTCATATTTCTTCTTAATCAAAGTTTGTAAAAAGGAAATGATACGTGTTTGCCAGGATGTGATTGCCTCTTCTGGCATAAGTAATATTTTTTATTTCTATTACAATATTATTTTCTGATTTCTCTTTTATTTGTGCACTGATTGATCGTGACATAAGAGTGTTACAATATTATTTTCTAAGACATAAGAAGACAATGTGCTATTATGTTCATTCATATTCCAAGTTTTGAAAAAAAACCACATATCTATAATTGAGTCCTTTTTATTTGTTCTGAAAAGACATTGTTATAAAAGCATAGATGATCAATGAATATGTATCTGCTGATAAATCGATTTTTTTGTCTTTTCAATGCATAGTTTAATCAAAACTCGTTTCCGTTTTTCCTCTTTTTTTGTTTTTTTTAATGGTTCTCCGTATATCTCTGCTTATTCATACATTTTCCACACATGTCATGTTGTCTAATGCCTTTCATATTCATCTACTCCTCCTACCCTTCAGTTCCCGTTTATTTGTGCATACTAGTTCCATTAATCAAAAACCTTCTTCTTCTTCTTCTTCTTCTTCTTCTTCTTTTTCTTCTTATTTTTTAAGAGACTCTTACTTATTCTCTTTTATGGAGAGAAAAAGTTAAAAGAGGTAAAAAAGAGAAAAAAAATAAATAATAAATACTGTACTATTACCGACAGTATATGAATACATCTAATTAGTAAGTAAATGATAGAAAAATGAAACAGAAGAACAAAACAATATGAATATATATATATGCGCTATAGAATAGACATCATTGAATTAGTAATTTTCTCCTTTTCTCATGAACTTTAATGGGTGCTTCCAAACGATGAAAAACGACATTGTCGTTTGCTCAAATATTAGCTGTATGACGAACAACGATGCTTTCTTCGCTCCCTCTTATATCTCTCTTACATCCATACTATGTGTCTCTCTCTATCTGTCTATATAGATATATATATGCCATTGATGTGATCGGTTCGGAGATGTAGAACAACATACTACAAGATAGATAGAAATCGAAGACAGACCGAGAAAAAAATGAGTAGGCTCGATTTTATTAGCATCTTGTTGTCGAGATTCATGACCATGTACACGATACTCTTATTTTTTATTCTCCTTTTTTTTATCCTTGTTGTAGTTGTTCCACACTAACGCTCTATCGTTACCGAATGTAAAGTCGCTGTTGCCATCGTCGCCAACGCTACTGCCGCCTTTGGTTTCCGACATCACAACCACTGCTGTCATTGTCCCGATGCCGCCGTCTCTGCTGCATCCAATAATTTGTTCATCGACTATTCGACGACGATTATGCTCGATTATGTTCGTCAACGGCCATCGCCGACAATATCACTATCATCATTATCATTTATATTTATTCGTTTATTAGTTATATTTTTTATGTTTTTTAATTTATTTTCATTTTGTCTACATGACATTGATAGAAAACCAATTGATAAACATTCATTACAAACAATATTTAAATTACGAAATACACAAATAATAAGTCAACAAGAAAAAAAATTTCTTCGTATTATTTATTTTCGTGAATTTGATATGAATTTAAATGCAAATCGTTTAAAATTTGATGTAAAAAATCTTACAGAATCATATGGAATTGATTTTAAAATAAATATTATTGATCAATCAAAATCATTTTCATTAACTAAGTTATGTTCAATAATATCAGAAGAACGACGTGATACAATTTTAATTGCTGATTTATATACTAAAGAAATTGATTTAATATCTCGTTCACTTAAATTGCCAACAATAGCTATTACAAATCGTTATCAAATTGTTCAAGGAAAATTGGTAAGATTTAGAATCGAAAAGCACATTTCAATTATAAATAGTTGAGTACGAGAAGAATCTGTTTTTTAAATCATAGGTAAATTTCAAATGTTTTCTTCTTTATCAAAAAACAAAAAATCATCTATTTTTCATACACAAAAAAGTTTCCTGTCATATATTAAAATCAGAATAATATGACTTTTATTGATTAATGACTACTTTTTAGTCTTTCTCAACTTTAGATACAGCTAATAATATTGCCAATGAGAAATATTTAATTATTAAAAAATGATTGGCTTTTATTTTTCTAGCATAATCCTTATTTATTTAAATTGATGCCCGATGCAATAGAAGATGCAAAAACAGTAGCATATACCATTGATACTCGTTCAGTTTATACTCGTATTGGTAAATAATCTTGTTTTGTTTGTTTTTTCTTTTTACATTTCTTCTTTTTTAAATTCAATTCTTTAGCTATAATCTATGATACATCACTTGATATGGTTGAATTTCGTTTATCATATCTTCGTCTCGCTAAACAAATTATTGTTTATCGTGCACAATTACCACGTATATCATTATCAAATGAATTTCGTCGTACAGCACGTACAATAATAAATGATTTAACACAAATTGATATTGATCTTATTTTATGTATGATGTCTACTGAACGTGAAACACAATTTGTTCGTTTAATAAAAGAATTTGGTTCATTATCAATAATACAATTATTATTAAATCGAACAAGTTGGTGGTTTGCTTCTCGTCTTGATGAAACACATAATTTTAATTATTTACCAAAAATTTTTACAGCAAGTGAAGATCGTCGACGAACATTAAGTAATTTTTCAAGTACAAGTATGAAAATATTATTAAATGCTGTATTAAAAACATATATACGTTTATCAAATTTATCAACAACATCATCATTATTAATTGGTCCAACTGCCTGTGATAGTCAATTGAATGTACATCATTTAAAAAAGACACATATGTTTATTCAGTAAGTATTAATATATATATATATATATGATATTATTTATCATGAGATTGATCATTGGATTTATTTTGTTGTTGCAAGGAGAAAAAAAAAACAAAGTTTCATTAAGCATTTTGTGTAATATGCTTTGAATAAAGTCTATGGAATAGTTCAATTTGCAAATGATTTGATTTTTTGTAAAAGTCTTGAGTGATACAAATTTATTTTCATAAAACACAATTTCATCAGTTTATGTATTAGTAACGGAACCAGATAAAACTTTTAGAGAGAAGGAAGTGCAACCTTCGTTTCAAGCTGACAACGAGCTATATTCTTCTGTTAAAATATAGGAACTTCACATTTCAGAAGGAAGTGGACTATCTCTATTAGATGTGTTCTATTGTGAATTATCTTTAATGTACTGACAAGTTGAGTGTTGAATATAGATACTATTTCTTATTATTATAAACTAATGTTAGATAGATCATCTGCGTTCAATGCTACGAATTCCCCATAGACAACTAATCTATAGTTAACAAATGTATATTGGTGAGCACAAACTATGAAGAACAAAGAATTATCCATTAGACTGAATTTCGATTAAGAACTACAATAAGATGACTAATGTTAAATGTTAATCATTCTCAAAGTTGATCACGCGTGGAAAAAACAATAAAATAAAGTCTTTTCCTAGATCATCAAATGTTGTTGAAATAGTAGAATATCATCTTCATCAATTTTGCAGTTGATATTTTGTATATGACTAATCAAAAACTAATGAGTTCCTATTCCGTATTATCTGTCGAAATAAATAAAACAATTCAAAAATGATTCAGGATACATGACTAAAATCTCTAAAATTACGATAATTTTACGAGCGGAATAATCATCTGGACTGATATTTGTTGTGTATTGGATTCATCAGGATGTCTTGGTGCAGCTATAAACAGTCTAACAGGATGCATTTCTATGGATCTTAGAAATCAAATTATAATCATTTTACTGAATTCTAAGCACAGTTATAATAAATACTGAAAGCAAATCGAATTTCTATGTCAAATATTACTTATAGATAGTACGAATGACTTGTAGAATACCTTGACAGTTTCAGTCGAACAGAATGCTCTTTTGTTAAGAGACAGAGTTTTACCAAATTTAAGTATCCTTAAAAATTCAATATCTCGACAGCAAAACATTAGTTTTTCGGCTGAAACTTTCAGAATATTCTATGGACTAGTCGATCTATCTATCAACTAAATTTCAAATCGATATGTCGTTTTTAAGTTTCCAGTATCTGTACCTAAAGCTGGTTCAAAAGTTCAGTCAAATGTTCATAACTCGGCTCAACAGAGTAACGGAGACATATCCTTATAGACTATTGCTACTCTCATCAAGATGTCCTTGTATGTTTTCAACACGGTAGATATCAATTCATATGATTTTCTCGTGCATCAAACAAAAAAGAAAAAAAAACAAATCAAAAGTCTAACATCATTTCGTTTTTTTAAATACTTTCCAACTAGTAGTTGTAGTCTTAATAGCACACGATCGTTGTCATCGTACACTTGACATTTTTCTATTGACATCAATTAAATACACATAAAGAATAATAATATTTCTTTTTGTTACTCAAAAGATTATTTACAAATTTTACTGAATGGAGTTGTGACATTCGAATTGGTTCTGGTGTTGATCCAATATTATTCGAACCAAAAACTCTTGCATGGCGTGTTCCAACAATGTTTATGGTACACAAAAAAGAAAAAAAAAACATATCTTTCTAATTATTCTTATAAAATTCTAATTTATTTTCATATTTAAGGTGCATACTGAACATGAATGCCAAGGTATGCTAACACGTACATTTTATACATCAAATACCAATGCTGATCAATTTTTTCGTTCATGTTCAACAAATTCTTCATTACGTAAAAGTTCATCATCACACCATGATAATTCTACATCAAATCTATCGACAACAGTTTCTAATGCTCTTGTTGATATAACTAGTTTTCATAGAATGGGTGGTAAATTATGGAATTCATTAACAGGTGAATGCCGTTTTGTACATATTTATGATCGATCATCAATACCAATTATTGTTGTTGGTGTTGTTGAACCTCCATATATATTTGTATCCGATGCTCAAATTTCATCAGAATTTCATTGTAATTATGGTATACCATGTTATCAAATTGATCCACCATTAACAAATATGTCAATAAATCCATTTATATTTAATTCAAAAACATTGTCACCACCACATTGTTGTTATGGAATATCAATTAATTTATTATTACGTATGGAAGATTCAAATTTAGTTTCAGCATTAAAAACAACAAAATTATTTGTTTTTTCTGATAAACCAAATAAATGGTTAGCATTAATAAAATCATTAGAAAATCGTCGTGCACATTTATCAATATCAGCTATACCATATGAATCATTTTTAGCACGTTCAATTGATTTAAGTCCACCATTTTATCATTCATCATATGTCATTTTTACTGCGCCAGCACCAACACGACCATCTTTAGGCGTTTTTTTACAACCATTTTCATGGACAACATGGTGTATGATTTTTCTTGTACTTAATGCTGCTTCTTTATTTGAAACATTTTTTGAATGGCATAGTCCTTATGGGTAAAAATAAACATACAAGAAGAAAAAGAATATTATTTAATCTTAAAAAACAAAAAATTTTTTTTTTCACTTTAGCTTAACACCAAAAGGTCGTAAAAGACAAAAAGTCTTTAGTTTAGCATCAGCATTGACATTGACTTGGTCAATTGTATTTTCACATACATTTAAAACAAAATCTCCTAAATGTTGGTCAAATCGATTTTTAGGCAATGTAAGTTTTCGAATGAAAATATTCTTTTAAGATTTAATATATATATATATAGGTATGGGGTGGATTTGGTATTGTTTTTATTGCTATTTATACAGCTAAATTAGCTGCTTTTATGGTTGAAGTTGCAGAAACACAAACAGCTTCGAATGTTCAAGGCCTTATCGTAAGTGTGATATTGAAAGATTAAGATCTAGAAAATAATACAGGTAATGAGAAAAGAAATTCATATTGCTTGTTAAGTAGAAGAACGTTGTCTTAAAGTAGAAAAAGATGTATAATAGATAGTAAAGCCCATCGAGTTCAACATTTTCGGATCTAAGACCAAGTCGACGGACTCTAATGGATAATATTGATTTAATATCTTATGAATTCAAGCTATGAGCCAAATATTCTTTTCTTCTTTCTATGGATATAAACAGTTTCTGATAGAAAGAATTTATCACATTATTTACTATATCTACCTTTGTGTTAGATGGAGAAAAAAATAATTCAATAGCAATTATTAGATCCTTGTTTTAATTAAATTTTTAATTTTCATATTTTGACAATGGAACTTTTGAAATATTTTCTTCACGTTGATAGTTAGAACGAATCGGAAAAAAATATTGGAATAGATGTTTTGAAAATAATTTGCACACAATGTACAAAAAGCGAAAAAGTCATCTGTTTGACGTTTCGAAGTCTTCCGTAGTTGAGTGTAGTTTGATGAAGAAAAATCATAGTGACCTTGGGAGTGTCTTATGCTACTCAAAAATGTTTACGCTATCAGATGAACTGATTTTCGGAGATGGTATTTCTCCAAAGAAAATTTTTCTCATACATTTTCATGATAATTGGGAAAATGTTTTCTCTTATCTTCGTTCTAGCTATCAGTATTAAGAAAATATCGTATTCATATGGGCTAGTATGGCTGACTGAATACCTTGTTCGATCTTATTCACAAAATACTTTATTCACAGATCGATATCACTATCTACACCCACATCTATTCAATAGTATGCTAACTACATTGTGACATGCATTTCCTCTTGTGCCTAGTTAGTGTAGATGGAGAGCTCAAGTAATTGAGTTCTAGAGCTCTACAGTCAGGTCAATCCTCTGTTCGAAGCTACAATTAGTTTTAGTTGTAGTAAAGATATAGAATCTGTCGTTAGACAGCATTTTATACTACACGGTAGCCAAAAGTCAGGGTTTTTTTTCTAGTAGAACTTTATAAAATTGAAGTTTTAATTGTATTCATATGGCCACAAAAAATGTTATAGTTTCAGCAAATGAAGCTATCGAAACATGAGAGTATTAAAATAAAATTGAACTGTGAAAATCCAACATGTTTTTAATAAATCTTTGACTTATTTTTGGCATCAGAACTCGTGTTTATAGTAAATTCCTCCCACATTAGAAGTCTCAGCTGGAAGAATGATTCGGCAGACATAACAGAAGATGTCTCTTAATTAATTATTTTCTCATAAAAGTGTACTTTTAATTAGTATATTTACATGAAGATATGCCTAGTTTTCAGGTTTCGCGGCTGAAAAGATTCAAAACATTAAAGTCAATATTATTTCTGGGCTTTTAAACTCCGAAAACTATCGTCAATTTTTTTGAAAATTCTTTAAATTGAAAATACTGAAAGTAAATAAGACACATCAGAAAACTCTCCTGAAAAATGTGTACACTTTAAAACAACAGATGATTTGAGATTTTCTATCGCGAAGAAGAATTTAGTACTAAATTCAGAAATTAGCTGTTTTCCTGCAATGTATTCGAAAAATTATTTTACCAATAGTAAGTCATTCATTTTTAAACAAGTATAATATGTAGATATTTAACAGCTTTGCACTGGTCTAAACATGTACATATAGACTATCAGTGAAGACGGCGAATGCATGATGAAATTATGATGGTCTTGAATTGACTTCGATTCTTTCGAGCCGGGAAGATTATTGTAAAAAAATGCACTCTTCATTAGATTAGCTACTAATAAGATTTTGATTATTTTTGCAAAAAAAAAAAATAGAATTTTTCTAAGAATCGGGTTTGTAATAATTATTATTGTTTATCTAAGGATGATTGTCGTAAAATGTCTCAATGTAGCATTGGTGTTGTTGCAAATACAAGTGATGAAGAATATATAAAAAAATTTTTTACTAGTACACTCTATACTCATATGCAACATGTGTCATCATATGCACATGGTATTGAATCACTTCGTAAACGTTCAATAACTTATTTACTTATGGATCATTCAATGGCACGATATTATTTAACACGTGAAGTTTTCAAATCAATTCGTATAAGTGGTGATAATTTTGGAGCATTTGGTTTATCATTAGGTTTTTCAAAATTTGATACAGATTTAAAACATAATATAACAAATATTTTATTATCGTATGTTGATAAAGGTTAGAAAACGAATCTTGTCTATTTTTTTGTTTTTGAATATTATATAATAAGAAATTCTTCTCTTCAATAGGTATCATTCAACGTCTTCATGATGATTGGTATGTTTATGAAAATTGTGAAATGAAACGATTAAATGAAGTAAATTGTTTTTTTTTATATTAGATTAGTTATATTTGATTTCATTTATTTTTTTCTAGAATCGAGAGTTATCTATCGATCGATTTATTGGTGTATTTATATTATTGGGTGCTGGTATGATTATTGGATTCATAACACTTTTATTAGAATGGATTACATTTAAATATGCTATACCATATTGGCGAAAACGACAATGGCCTGGTTGGATGTTTTGTTCACAAGTAGGAGAAAAATTTTTGAAAAAGAAAAGAAACTTTTGAAGAAAAACGCTTCTACTTTTTGGCTACGTTGCGGTATGGAATGTTGTCTAACGAAAGATTCAAAATCTTCCCTACAACTAATACTACCTGTAGCTTTGACTGGAAGGCCAGCGTGACGCAGAGTTCTTGCGCTCAATTGCTTGAGTTCTCGATACACACTAACTAATTAGTCATAAGAACGGATCTATGACACAACATGGTCAACATGCTATCGGAAGAATGATGCACGACAAGTAGTTGTTAGTGACTTGACCAACGTTAGTCCATAGCTGGTGATGTCGAGGTTTAAACACAATATCTCGTTAATATATGTCTGTACTTTTCAAAATTGTACATTGCAGAGAGATGTCCACTACAGGGAGGTTAGGTCTTAACTAACGAGGGAACTACCCGAGGTGCTAACAAGCTTTTGAGCTGAAATTTTGTCCACAAGTAGGGAATGCATAGACTAGAAAAAGTCTAAGAGTATATGTGCCCAAGTTGAGATTTGGCTGAGATATCGGCTTTTTACTATAGTTTTTCTATGGGACCCCATTTTTCCCATTAAATCAAAGTTTCAAGTTTTGACGTGAAACTTTGCCCATATCAAGACCTCAACTAGATTAGCTCATCTACAAAGTTTCAGAATTTTCGGACTAAGCATTTCCGAGATATAACGTTTTCAAAATATCCATGTATATAAAAATATCCGTAAAAAACTGTGTTTATGCTAACAGACTCATATCTCGAGAATGCTTAGTCCAAAAATTCTGAAACTTTGTAGATGAGCTACTCTAGTTGAGGTCTTGATATAGGCAAAGTTTCACGTCAAAATTCGAAACTTTGACTTAATGGAAAAATGGAGTCCCATAGAAAAACTATAGTAAAAAGCCGATATCTCAGCCAAATCTCAACTTGGGCACATATCCTCTTAGGCGTTTTCTAGTCTATGCATTGCCTACTTATGGACAAAATTTCAGCTCAAAAGCTTGTTAGCACCTCGGGTAGTTCCCTCGTAAGAGCAAAGTTTTTTACAGAGTAGATGCGCTTGCCAAGTATCTAATATTAACAGATTTTAAAATATAGTCAAGTTTTCCGTTATGGAAATTATTCGAACTTTTTTCGGAAGTGTCTATTATGAAAAGTTTTACTGTATCTTTTTTTTTTTTCTAGCGTTTATATACCACATTAAATGCATCGGATGAAGTATATAGTGAAGCTTATCGTTCATCAAAATTTCGTTCATCTCGATGTGTTGGAGAACGGTTCGTATATATGTTTTTTTCTTTAGTTTAGTAATATTCTTTTATTATTGTTACTGTTCTAGTCTTCATAATTATTCAACTCGAAGTGATAGTCTTGATTTACGTGTTGTTGATGTTCCGAAATTATTATGTACAACATATCAACTTAAAGAACAAATGAATAAAATAAATGAACAACAACAAATACCATTATTACCACCAAATGGTAATTTACGTTGTACAACAATAAAAAAAGAACATGATGAAGAACAAAAATTAATTCTAAAACGTATTGATGAACTTGAAGAAGAATTAACTCAGTTAAAATTACAATTATCAATATTGGATAATATCTAAACATCTGTTTTTTTTTTTTTGTTTGTTTGCTTGTTTATTTTTCTTTTTCGAATGTGTATCATTGGTGCTATATTTGTGTGCATTGACGCAATTTGTAGCTGTGTAGATGTCTGTTTTTTTTTCTTTTTCCATCACGTCATCACATACATACACAGTGGTCTTGGTAATCGATCAGATGGAATTTTATTTTATTTTTTCAAGCTTCATTCTATTTTGACATTTTGAAGCTTTTTTTTTTCTTTTGTCTTTTTTTTGAACATTGTAAAAGAAAAATCTAGAGATATTTACCTTGAAAAATGAACTTAAGGAATTCAACTGGACAATATAAATCACTTATATATATATATGTAATGTTAATTTATGTATATTATTTGAATAATGAACTAAAAATGATTTAATGCTCATTTCGATGGGAATTTGTTCGTAAAAATTTGGTATTGCAAAGATTAGTGTTCATTGGCATTTTTGCGTTGCTATTTCAGTGCAATCAAATCGATCGATAAATTTACTGTATATGTTCATAATTTCTACCTATTACTTTTCTTAAACTTCTCTATCATGTCATCTGATAATAGCAAAAATATTTTCGAGAACTGACAATTCTTTATTAGCTACCAGTATTGTTTAAATCAATGTCAACAAATAAACATAATGTCGAAACCATCCATTAACTTTATTCATCTTATTGCAATTACTAGATTTTTCTTGAAGGTACATGTGACTTAAAATGTCAACAATTCTTTTGCATTATACTAAAATAGTTTACATTATGATTCGTAAAAAAATTCAATGCAATAGTAAATGACATGATCATTGTTTGTTTGTATAAATTTTGATTGTCGAAAAAAGAATTACATGTATCTACTATCTTTTGTTAATAATTCTAACTAGGGCCAATGAAATTATTCAATGAAAATTCAGTTCTTTTTTTTGCATACATATTAAATACAATTGGTTTTATTTTAAGTAAAAAAAAAAATATGATAAATAATTGATATAATTGCTCAAATCATCAATATAAAATATTTCTATTTAATAAAGAACATATATCAAAAAAAGCATTTTAATTTTTTTTATTATTGCAAAATTCTTTTCCATTTTCTAACGTGAAACTGTAAGACTTAACTTTTGATATTCATGAAAATTAATGATTCAATTTATTCATCTATTGAAAAAGAAGTTGAATATCTTCTTTAGATGTTTCATTCAATCAAGATTATACTTGAAAATTTAATTGATTTTCAACTGAAAGTAAATATGTTTTAAAGACAAAAGAATGTTGCATAAAACATAAAGAAACCATAATGTAAATTGATTGATTTCAAACGAATAAAATTTCTTTTAATTATTTATTTAACAATTATTCTTTCCGATTTCTCTTATATAAAATTCTAGAACAATAAGAGTTAAGATTGAAAATAATTCAGTAAGAAAAAAAACATCGAGATAATTAAACATCAATTAATTATTTGTTATATTTCATATACTAAAATCTCATTCGTTTAATAGAGAATATGTCTTTATCTCTATTTACACAAATACTCTTCTATGACTTCTATTTTCTTGAAATGTTACGAAAGAATTATAAAATAGTTTTCTTAATAAAACCAATAAAATTCTTGAGATATATCTCAAAAGCAAAGTAAATAGTCTAACATGATATTCTATACAGACCTCGATAACAAATAATTACTTATAAACATGTTATATGATCTTATGAAAAACAAAAATGATGATGGTTTATTCCGACATTTTAACCTATGAATAAAAATTATTTTTTATATGAAATTTTGCGACACAGACTTTTTTTTTTCTTTTTTCTTTTTATCTGCATTTGTAAAAGTACAGAGTAATTAATATAACATCCTTTACGGGCAAACTCTGAGAAACAAAAGAAAACAGATGCTTGCTCAATAGTTGTCGTTTGATTTCTTTTCTTTTTTTTTTCATGTATAAAGATTTCATGCCTTACGGCGACATATAACAACATCAACAAGCAAAAAAGTATCGAGAGAATAAAAGAAAAAATTTTGATTGCTGTTGCCGTCACCGTTATTTTCAGTCGTTAAATTTTACAGTTAGAAGTTACTTGACACCAGAAAAAAAAAGAGTAACAAACTGTAATCATGAGTATGGAAGCACAGTTCTACGAAGCTTTACGTCGTCAACGTGTTATTGAACGACGTCAATCACTTGGTGTTTCGCGACAAGTTCAACAACCAAAATATCAACCACGTTATATTCCTACTGGTGTACTTCGTCAAGATGATATTCATGTACCATGGACATTTAATCCTTTACGTCGTACAAAACTGGCTAATAGTGAACAAAATTTATTTCAAAATGATCGTGATGTTCATACGTAAGTTCATAAAGCAAAAAAAATTGTTTTTTTTTTAATTAGAAATGATTTATCAATAGTCATCGACCACCATCGATACAACAACGACCTGCCTTACATGGAAAACTTCATAATCGATTTTCTGTAAATTTCTTTTTCTCTATTTTAAACGTTATTATGTTTAATTTTTTACTTTCTGTTTAGTCAATGGATTATATTCAACAATGGTAAACTGAAACGAACAAGTAATAAAAGATAATTTTCTATATTGTGTGTACACCTTTGAAATTTGATGAAAAATATTTTTTGGTCATTAATAAAAATAAAAGGCAATTAAAATTTAAATATATTTTGATTATTCAAAAAACATATATGAAGAAAGATAATAAATTTAGCATATTTGATTACATATTTTACATATTTTACATAGGTTAACATTGAAATGTTGGCAATGAAAGAAAACATTTTTAGAATAATTAATATTATTGTTTTTTGATTTTCTAAGGTTTCTATAAATATTGTTTAAACAATTTTTTCAATGATAAATCTACACTAGAAGTTTTTTTTTTTCTAAACAACAAAAAATATCTACGAATCAATTTTATATATTAAAGTTCATCTTACAGTTCTAGATTTGCAATAAATCAAATACTTGTATTTAAAACTTTTGTTTCAGAAATACTATTAATGTATTTATCAGAGATCAAAGTAGTCTTGCCTATTCTAATCTAAGATAGGATCGAAAAATGTATGTTCACTTTGCTTTACAGTCAAACAGGGTACAGTAAATTGAGTTACTCATAACTCTAGAAGTTTTGCCGCATTTTTATTAAATCCTAATAAGAATAGAGTATACAGGATGTTAGCAATCGATATATAGAATTTGAACTTTATTAATACGCATACTTCAATCGATAGAATAATAAAGAAATGAAATTGTCATTGAAATATAATTGAACTTATTGATTGCATTCTTCAATTGAACAGACAACAAAGCAAAATCAAATCTGGAATAAATAATCACAATTGCCAAGATATATTGACATTTTCTCTACGTTGTCACTATAAACGGCTTTAATGACATATAATCAATATCTTTAACAATTCTTTTTTGGCTAAAAATTTTTATTATTCTAAATTTTGTTAATCGTCTGCATAAAATTCAAATCGTACAAATTCGACTTCATCTTGATGATAATCAACATTATTTTTCTTTCTCTTTCAATAAAGATCTTTGTCCAAGTATAAAGATAGTTTAAAACGCATATAAATCATTATTCTACCATCAAAGCAAATAGATTACTGTTGATAAGTACATTTAGGGTTATCTGCTTTATTTTTATAACCATTTATCTAATTGTTGTCATATTCAGGAAAACAAAATCTACTGGACTTTTCTTCGACTAAACGCAACTAATTTTCCTTACTAAAAAAAAGTATGAGATACATTATCACCTGTTTATTAATACTATATTAACACTTAACGGCATACAAGCTTTTTTGCCGAAAAGTTCATTGATATTTTCTCCATATTTCAAGTTTTTTCCTGTCAAGTTGCTTTTCCTTGACGCACGGCTTCAACCTACGAACAACTTTTTTATCCCGCTGGTTATGTAAATAATTCTTCTTGTTCTAGTCAATATATTTTCCAGTTATGATAAATATATTACATTGTTATAGAATCAATCGAAACAAACAAATTATTCCATCAAATGAGTCGCTATACCAATGACATTGTCATGTAGGTCATAAACCAGATTGTTTCAACATAAACATACGTCTTTTCTATTATTTGACTAGCTGTCTGTAAACATAAAAAGATGCCTATCGTATCATAACGTTAGTGTCATTTGTTTATAATTTTCTCAGTGTCATCAATCAACAGCTTATATTTCTTTATGTTAACTAAAAACATTCTAGAATATTTTTATCTTCGAAGACAAGAACAAAATATATACTTCATCATAGAATGTCTATCTCTCGTCATATTTTCAATAATTTTATTTTTTTTACAAAAATAAAAAAAAAAACAAACAAGCAAACAAAACATACATGGCTGCTACCTATGTGAACAAGTTAATTAAGAAAAGAAAAAAATTTCAAGCCTACAAAAGAAATGCACATCACCTTTTTCTTTTCGTTTTTAAAAGAAAAAAAAACAAAAATGGAATGAATATATAATATAATCATACATGTGCTACAGGTCCTTGTTTTGATGACGGAAGTGAATATTTACTTCCATTAATTTTCGTATGTTTATATGAATAATTTATTCCAAAAGCATCACGTCCATTATGACTATCATAATGATGACGATTATGTGAACGACGATGTTCACTAGAATTATTATTATTATTATTATTATGTTCAATATTATTTTGACAACAAAAAAATCTTTTCCATGTTAAAAATGTTTTACTATTAAAATTAATCCATATACCAGTTGTTATACCGACAATTAATAGAAAGAAATATTTTGACATATAAATCATAAAACTTGGTCGTATTGACCAATTTGAATATGTTTCTAATGATAAACGAGGACATTTATTACAATGTAAATTTTCTTCCCATATTGAACGATAACGTAATTCATAAAAATAAATTCCAATTACCTTAAATATTCAAAAACGAAATCTCATTTAAATAAATAGATTAA